TGACGAGCGTGTATTCATTATTAGTCGATGGATAGTTCACTTCTATGAGATATATTAGCGTGTAAACTTGTCTTTAGGATGGTCAAATGCCATTGAAAGCCGACGTCTCCCCAAGGTGGAGTGGTCGAAATTGGAGCGAGGTGAAGCGACAAGTCGTACGTCTAGGTACGAAGGGTAAGGGACGTTGATGAAAACGAAAGAATATACCGAATGCAGTTTTAGCTAACGAATAATGGAGTACCTAAGTGTAACCTGCACATCGCAGGAATAAATTTACAATTAGCGATATGCGCATAATATGAACCTCTGTCTTCCAAATGCATATTAAAGTTGAAGTTTCGTGTGTAAATATATATTTCGTGTGTATACAGGGTGTCCCAGGTCGGGTAGTACAACCGGACCCGAGACATCCTGTACATGTGTATGCACATGTACGTTTGTAAATGGTCATTTATTTGCGTACATGTACATATGCGTACCATACACATTATAAATACACGTATATATAAAAAGATATATATATATATATACATATACACATATCTAGAGATAAAGAGAGAAAGAGCGGGAGAGAGAGAAGGAGAGAGTGAGAAATGTTATGAATATCGTGTATCGTATTTCCGTAAGGAAGTCGACGCGATCGTGGAGGATTCTCGAGTTTGCGTCGGCAGAATATAAGAATGTTGTTTCTTTTTTCGCGCGATACGAGGAATTCGGAAGGCGCACGCCGCGGATCGGGGCTCCGTTTATGTAGGCCGCGAGATGTCTCGCTATTTAAATTGTTCCAGACTCGACAAAGTGTCACAGACATGATCCTAGATGTAATTACGAAGATGTATTTTTGTGCTAAAGTCAGCCTTATTATAGATAGCATTAATGGCTCGTTGATCGATGGAAGGTTGTCCGATGTCCCTTAATTTTCAAGATTTTCCGTTGTGCGAGGTGTTACCGTCGGTGTCAGCGAGAATCGAACGTAGAACGAAACGATTCGCGAGGATGGAGCGAGAGCTGGGGAAAAGTTTCTGAATCATATCGCTTGATCTGTTTCCGCAATGTTAAGTCTTGTAACAAGTTATTGTAACGTGTTGTACGAAAGATACAAAAAGGGTGAAACGCGTAACGCGTGCTCACTGCAATTATATCATATCGATAAAATAAAGGCTGTTATACAAGCTCGTTCGTTGACCGTTCATTTTGGTCCGGTTTCGGTAAACGGCAAACAAAACTAAGTGGCGATGATCGCGTGAAATTCGTATACTAGACACGAAAGAACAAACATACGGATGGGTGTTTGCGTACGGCGGGAAGGGTCAGACGAAATAGTAATTTGCCGAAGGGCCCTGGAAAAGGGCGTGAAAAGTACAGTCAAGCAGGCTTATGCTAGTCGAAGGGAACCTCCCTCCCTCCCCCCTGGACCTTTACGTAACGCGAGGCACAGTTGTCGATAGCTCATTGTCGCAATGTCCATTGAAATCTCCGCGACAATGGTCGGAGCAGGCCGATCGCATTGTCGTCGCCGTGCATCCCGACCCTCTGGCTGCGGGTAGTCCGAGCAGAGTGCTCGAAAAGATCACTGGTAACCAAGGATTACGTCTCTTAATCTCAGACCTAACACGGTCCGCTTTCTTGTTCGTCGATAATCGACCACGGATTCGCGCCTCGAAAATCTCTTCTCGTTTCACGAAAAAGAGTAGAAAGAAAAACGTGAGCGTTCTCTGAAGGATGGCGCAACAACTCGTTACGAGGAAATCGCGAGATACGGGTGATCAGGACGTAAAAGGGGTGGTTTGCAGGATAATTGTGCGTAATTGGGTACATTTGATGACAGATGTAATCCTGGCGGGGACTGGAGGGTAGGAGAGAGGACGGATGAAGGAAGGTGGGTGGCTGGGAGGCAGGGGGAAAGGATGGGGATGGTCTATAATTTATAAACTAGGGGCTGTTTTGGGGTAATTGCAGATAACGATGGGGCGGTCCGGATAACAAGCCGACATGGGAGTCACTGGACACCGTGCCACTCCACCGGTAACACCATAACCTTCGTTATATACGGCTATTCTCTGTATCGCTTGCATTGCTGTCCAACCATAAGTTACGTCACGCGTCACGTCGTCGCGAGGGTTTCGCATTAATAAATCCCGGATCCTCCTCGTTCGTTCTGCGCGTTAATCTTTGAAAAATATTACAGCGAAAACAACGACGCGGCTTCGGTGGTCGCAAACACCTCCATTTTCCTATTTAAAAACGCGTTTCACAGCTCGTTGAGCGAAAAGGTGTTGACAATTGGTAGCCATTGGGAATCCATTTAGTTCGTTCAAAAGCTGCTCCGACTACCTGGGTTTCTCTTTTCACCAGCTTCCTGGGTAACGAATCGCGACTGCATCTTGACAAGTTGTGGCTTTACAGCGTTCTCGGTTCGACGATCCGCATTTGCCGTGAACGCAAAGAATTTTTAGTCTTGCGAGCGTGTTTTGAAACGGTAGAAGAGGTACGCAAAGGTTGTAATCGAGCGAGAAGGGTAGAAGCTTTTCGAAGCACGACTGGCTGGCTTCTAATCGCTGGTACACGTGGATAGCTCGGGGAGACGCTTCCTGGAGGCGCTATAAATACTACTCTCGGAGGTATGACGCGATAATTACTCAATTCCCACAGCGTAGCGAGTAGTCTGGTCAACTTGATCGTGATAAGCGGATAAAGGAACGTCGCGGCGCGGCCTTGAGACGCTTGCTCGGTCAGCGCGAAGAATCGTCGCGACAGCGTTTCATTTTTGTCCCCGGCACGTCATCTTTCGCTTTTTCGTCCCAATATAAACATTCCTTAAGCCGACAAAGAGTCAAGCGTTGGGTCTTCCGGATCCGAATTGGAGGGTGGTGGCTACTGGGAAGTGGATATTTTAGCGCAATTGCGCCCTTACGGCAGAGCAGGTTATTAATCCCACAAGGTTCACTTTAGAAAATATCCTACTCACTGAGAAACTTATCGAACGTGTCGAGTATCGTTGGTTTCAGCCGTTTCGAACAATTTCCTACAAACAGGTCGAATTTATTCTTCGCCATCTCCGATTACAAACACGCCGGGAAAATACGCTCGATAGACACGCGACAGATTTGACATCGCTTCATCTGTCCGTCTCGAAACGAGCTAGATTTTTCGTTTCAACGAGAACACCGCTGAAGATTCGTCCCGCGGGATAAACCACGAACACGAAACGGGGGCACAACCTCTGATTAAATAAATCCTGGTTGCGGTATGGACAATTTCATCGTTTGAAAGCTATCCCCTTGACAGGAAAGGGGACGATGATACGCGGCTACAAGGATGGAAAATGTTCGTGGACCGGCGACCAGTTCATCGCCTACGTACGCGCCTAACTACCTACCCCTATTATTGGGGCGCTACGATGTAACGCGAAGCCGACGAAATTCCCCTCTCGTTTCGCATTTTTTACTTTGTCACCCTGCTACTTTCGTCGCGCAGGAAAATCGTCTCTGAATAGCGTTTTTGCGCAAGATTCTATTCCCGGATGCAAAGGTGATTATGTACGAAAGAGAATCGACGGTGATTAAAGGAAAATTGAAAATTTTTATTCGTTACAGGCGAACCAACTCGTACGCAAGGTCCACCGCGTGGTTGTTGGGTCTTTCGAGGGTGCGACCGAGAAAGATAGAAAGTTCATGGAGCCGGAGAAAGGAGCTAGATATAGAAAGAACGTGTGCGTGTGTAAAGGAGAGAAAAGGGGAAGGGGAGACAGGGAGAGACAGGAACGTGGCGTGAATGGGAGGGAGTTCATAATAACATCGAGGGGCAACAGGGTTCTCTGTGTTCAGATGCTCTTTTCAAGAGTGAGAACCCTCTTCGACGCGCATTCAAGTGTCGCCGCTTTGTAATACCTCTTAATACCGTTCGCTGTCGACGTTATTAAGGATCCGGAACATATTGTCGGTACAACAGTGGCAATACCTCTATGGCGTCAAGCCTTTATTGTTGCTCCTCGTGCGAGTTCGTTCTCTCTGACAGGAAGTAACACGGGACGTACGAGAATTTTTTGCCTCATTTTTTAAGAAAAATTTGCCAAAAATTTTTGCTCCAGATCCTTACACGTCCGTCTCTCCCAGGTCCCAGTTTAATTTCTTCTTTATTCGAACGCGAAATTTCGAAACCAAGTATGAGAACAAGTTTGTAGGGCTTGGCACATTTATGCTACGATGCAAGTCGTACTTAACCTGTAGATAAATCGTGCCAGTCAGCGTAAGACGATTCTAGCCGGAGACCTGCGTCCACCGTTTTTCCCACAAAACTCACCTGACATAGGCTCCGTAGATAAGAGGACGTTAAATGTGCGAGGTGGCACATATTATAACTGGTCTTTACCAGCGAGCAACTTGGTGGCACGTGTTGCCATCGTATCAAAATATTATTTCTGCATAAAATTCGCAAAAATACCAAACGACGACCGTTTTTGTTTCCCGTGGAGCGAACAGAAAATCGCTGATTCGTTATCGTTTATCGGCGAAGAATCACGCGGTATGACGTAACGATCAGAAAATTGAACACATGGTCCTGAGTTAGAACCGCAAACCCCCTGTGTCAAGGGGTTTCCGTTTCGTATCTCATAATTGGCGACGCGTTTATGTCACCGCAGTCGTCTCTTCCCTTTCAGAAATTCGCTTCGACCCGAGAATAATGAGCCGTCGTTATAAATCTTAGCAGCGTCGCGTAACCAACCGATTAGAACAGGGGGTAGTTCTTCGCTCCGTGAAGATAAAAAGTGGTTCTATACGTCATCCAGCGAACACGCGTTCTATACACATCTCGTTTGTATTTTTTAAAGTGAAAAAAGAAAGGGCGAACCCTGTTGTTTCGAGGAGGCATCTTCGAACCCCGTTTAATTCGCTGGATACTTACCGGTGGACGCGTATAGCCGACACAGGTCGGAACGGAGATGATGACAGTCCACCGTTTGAACTACCCTCAAATCACCGAGCGCGCCTAACTAACCGTGTAATCGACAATTTCATCCTATTACGACATCCAACGCGCCACACTTTTCACCCGGATAAAATACAGGTGGCGCATCTACTTTACGAAACGATAATAATAATTAGCGAATTTTACTGCGAGCTATTTATCAGCTTTAATCCAAGCTCGAAGTTTCTTTCGAGTGTAAGACAATCGAATATAAACGTCGATGACTCGACGCGTTTTTATCGTCGACGTTGGTGGGAAGGTTGATTGGTCGGTAACGATTCGAGTGGATCGAATTTCAAAATAATCGGCGCAAAAGTTGCGTTCAGCATAGTTTGCCAGGAAAAGTACTTGCGCAACAGTGTTTTTGAAAATTGTACGCGAGTCCAGTGACACGAGAGGCGCGGCACAAAGTGGCCAGTGACACATAAAGAGCATATTTTCGAGCATTACCGAAGGGATCCGTCTCGGTCCCGGCCAACTACCTGTGTTCGTTTCACGCCTGTTCGCGTTTTCCAGCGTTAGAATCTCCCGCACCGATCTTTCCAGTGGCCCCGGTAATGGGCAAATAACCGACGGATTACGTCGCCTAATCCTCCTGCTAACGCGATCTCATTGTCGCGAGGGAATCGAGCGAATCTCATGCCTTTTACTCTCTGCTCGCCTTCCAAATCGTTCATCTTTTCTCGCTCCATTGGATCGAGGAATCTCTGCGGCGCGATAACGATCGACCGAAATCAGTCGAATCTTTAGGAATTTCTCGTTATTTCTAATCGCGAGGAACGTTTTTAGACGCGACAATTTCGCCGAGGTGGGAGGGAGTTCAGAAAAATTGATAAAGCTTCGATAAAGCCGAACGGGCAATACGAAACCACGCGGCGGACGAGCTTGTTCACCTGCGCGTAACAAGAATGTCAGCTTCTAAAAATAAATTGCCCGTACGATCGTGGACGATTCTAGCGGCGCGGTGGCGCGAGTATACGTAACGTGCGCGCGAAGATAGTCGCTATCTCGACGAGGCGGTGTCCAATGTCGGCCACCAACACGACCGCCAGCACTTTCCATCCCCGCCAGCCAAACGCGCCTCGCTTTATTGTTCCCCGCGTATTAATTTTATAGATATAAGTGCACACTTACGCGCGTGCATGCCGATACTGTCTACGCTCCACGAGGAAATACGAGATGCACTTGCGACTGCCTTTCTGTCGCTTCGTTCGATCGACAGCCCTGTAATGCTTGTTCGCTCACCTCCTCTCCTCCTCTTCCCTCGCATAAAACACGAGTCGGCTATTAATCTGTCGTGAAGCTTTCGGAGAGAACCAGCTCCTTCGGTCTAAACCTTTGACACGTTTTTAAACTCTCGGGTCGTTCGAGAATACCTGCTCCGAAATGTAGAATGGATTTCAGTTCACGGACGGCGCGGCGTTACGAGAACACGGCACAGACAGTCGGTTTAATTTATCTGGATTTACGCCGGCGAAGATGCCCGCCCGTTTGCCGACGTGTTTCAAGGGGCTGAACAAGCGTACAAGAGGATCGTCGGGTCGATTTTGCACAGAGCCATTTTGGAATGCAATTAAACGCAGTACAACGAAATACGACACTGACGCTGCTACTGGTGCCGTTGCTTCGCTTCGCTATGTTCTCTTCCGCTTCATTGCTTTCCTCTTCCTACAACCACCCACTCACCACCCCTCTACCAGTCTGCCTTCGTCGTACCCCTGTACCTACCACTCGTCGTGTCAGGAATACCTCCGTTTATCCAGCTACAAACGACCGAATTTTCACCGAAGCCTTTCATTCTCATTTCTTTTCCCCATTTCCGCTTTCGCTTTCAGTCTGCGAATATCGAGGCGAACGAGGAGGACGCGGATAAGCCCGAGGGAAGAAAATAAGAAAATGAAAAGAGTGGACGATCTTGAGATCGTTTTGATAAGGCTGGGGAAGCGCGCGAGAGGACGCCAGGGGGTGTCGGTAGGGGTAGATTGGCGGAGGTTGGCGCGAGGAGGTATGACAAGGGGGTGGTGTACGAGGAAGAGGAAGAGGAAAAGGGAGCGAGACAGAGAGGGAGCAGGAAAATGGCGGCTCGCAGGACATCCGACACCAAATCGAAGGAGACGCCATCGCAAAGCGCGGCACCGCCCCTCTATCACCGGATCTTGCTCCGCCGGTGTCGTCGTTCTACCTAGGGCGCGCTCTCTAAATTAAAACGATTTTTGCCCGTTTACGAAAAACACAGCCCAAACACTTTGCGACAAATCGATTTTATTTTAGCTCCGGAAGAAGCAAAGGAAAAGAGACAACAGCGTTAGGTTTAATGATCGTCGTCGATTCCGATGCTTTTCGCGGGATACGAAAGAAAAATCGAAGAACGTATCGTCGAGTAATGACGTAATACGAACGGTGCATCGATCCAACCCGGTTTGCCGTAGTAGCGAGAACGTTCGACTCACCTTGTTTTCAACTATGCGACGATTCAACAAATAAACGTGTTTCAACGCAAAAATCGTGTTACTCGATTCGCTTCCGTCTACAGATAAAGAGAGAAAGAGAGAGCAGTGCTCGTTGCGCTGACGATCATCGTTCGTACGAACACTTCTGTTTTTCCCGAAGGAAATTTGTCAAAGTCCCGCGGACACGTTGAGTCTCGTCACGGTGAAACGACGCGGAGCATCCGACAAATGGCAATTAGACGGAAAAGGCGGAGCGGATTGAAAGGATTGACCAGGCGTGGCAAACAGAGGGATTTCGGTGCTCGTCGAAAGACATCTTCGCTCGTCTGCCAGCGTATCGGCTCTCATTGATCTACTTAACGCCGCTGGTTTGACGGATTTCACGCTATTTTCATCGACTTCCTGCCGTCGGGCTACGCCACCCTGCCACCCTTTACGATCTCGCTTCACGCTTTTCTTCGTTTTTAATTACGCTTCCATTTTTGCAATTTTATTTCTTCGTCACATTGGTAACTACTCGTTTGCAGAAACGCTTAGCGTTTTAAGAATCTGGCGATTTCGTTACATCAGTCTGATTTTTTCCCTTCCATTCGGTGGCATGAGAAAGGACGACGGCGGGGACTGATGGAAAACGCTAGGGGAATTGTTGCCGGTTGTTGTGAAATTAATTAAACGCGAGGTGTGATAGCACCGCTTAGAATCACAACACGGTGTACGGTAACGTTGTCGCGCTCCGTTTCCGGTGTTTGTTGGTTACCTCCTATATTCTCTACGCTTTGCCCACAGACGAGTCCGCGTGTTCGACTACTCACACACGCTTCTTGTATTCGTCGCGGCGAGGATCCAGGAGAAAAAAGTAATTTAAATAAAACAATAATTACCAGAATAAATCGAAGGTAATCGTCTAAATTTTACACCTGGCGCGACTAAATCTTACTCTACGATTTATCAGACAGATATTGAATTTTTTCTTCTTTAAACGAAGTCGCGTAACACAGAAACGATTAACCATGCGATCGAAGGGCGAAGGGGAGAAGGGTGGATGAGTAGAGAAAGAGGGAGATTGAAATAATCGCTCATCGAACGAGTCGAAGAGGTTGCTCTCGCAGGTGAGAATCCAGCAACGCGACGGAGCCGGTATCCGTGGTCACCGAACGGGGTGGCTTTCGCCGGGGGTAGAAATATGCGCCGCCCCCGTGCTCGTCCAATCGAAGGAACGCGCGCGCTCCCCGTCGACCAATAGGAACACGCTCGAACGCGTCTCCCGTCCGAATGCGCCGCGTTCCACTCCTCTCCGCGCTGGTGCGCCTTGAAAAACAAAAAGGACATCAAAGAACAGAGGAAGAGAGAACACCAGCGACGACGTCCTCTAGTTGTGGCTGTGGCAGCGTCAACGGGAACGGCATCGGTGGTATCGGCGCGGAATAATCGGCAGTGGCAGCGATCGTCGTAGCAGTAACAGCAGAACCGCGTAACCACGCGACGACGTTTTTCCGCCGGCGAATACCGCGCTATACAACAGTTTTCCCTTTGTAAACACTGTCCGTTCTTTTTTAATTCGTCGAAAAATCGTTTCGTATTCTCTTTTGCAAAGTGTCGTCGGATGTTATCGGATGTTTCGACGATTAAAACGCACGGGTCGTGAAGTGTTTTCGAGGCAGTGCGACTTTGTTCGAGGGTGAAGTTAACGAATGTTGAGTGCACTTGAGTGGAAAAAATTAAAGACGCTCCGCGGACAGTTTCCTCGAGAAAAACTCGCACCGTTGGGAAACACGTTAGGGTAACGAGGCGTTTATGAATGGAAACTCGGTTGGCGAGGACGCGAATGAAAGGCTCGCGATCAAACAATCGTCCGAGCGGCGGATGCTTGCTTTCGTCATCAGCTGTTCATCCGTAAATGATCGATAACGTCGATCGAGCTACGAGAAACGAAGCACTCGGAGGACTCTGTTCCGAAGGAAACGTCGAATCCATAAAGAAATGATCGTCGATTGATTGGCGCGATTGGGAAAGAAGAATCGACCGAGAATGCCCGACAGTTCGGATCATTTGTCGTCGCCGAACAGCGAGTGCAACAGCCAAATTGGCGGTATGCATCGAAACACGTCTGCTGGGCAATACAACGATTCCTCGATACCTGGTCTACCTCTGACCCATCATTCCCATTCGCAAAATCTAACGCCCGCCTCGAACGGAAGCCCCCGGTATTCTCAAGAGTTGACCAGCTGCAGCTCCGCTAACCCGTCCACGAATATTGGAAACATCGGGGCACTCTCTCTGGGAACGAGCAGCAGTAACTTTACCCCGGAACAGATATCTTGCATGTGCGAGGCGTTATCGCAGAGTCAGGATATCGAGAAGCTCACGAGGTAAGCCCGCTCTTTGTTCCTTCCGTTTCGAATCTCGAGCTCCCTGTTAGCGTCCGCGAACTCGCTTCCCGACGGCAGCTTCAACGCTGCTTTCGAGTCTCCTTACGAATCAAAGAGAAAACCGATCGGTTCGAATTCATGGTTTTGTTGCGAGAAAATCGAGCAAACTAAAATCGTCATGGTCAGAGTTGAAAATGTAAAAGGGTAAACGTTTCGATGTTAGGTTTCTATGGTCTTTACCACCGGGCGAACTGCTCCGGGGTGGCGAGAGCGTTCTAATGGCAAGAGCCACGGTGGCATTTCATCGGGGAGCATATCACGAGCTCTACTCGATCCTGGAGAGTCATCCGTTCTCGCCGCGTCGACACCAGGAGCTTCAGCAGATGTGGTTCAAGTCGCACTATCGCGAAGCGGAGAAGATCCGCGGCCGTCCGCTGGGTGCGGTGGACAAGTATCGGCTGCGGAAAAAGTACCCCTTACCGAAGACGATCTGGGACGGGGAGGAGGTGGTGTACTGCTTCAAAGAACGCTCGAGGAACGCGTTGAAAGAGTGTTACATGAGGAACAAGTACCCGGCTTCCGACGAGAAGAAGAATCTAGCGAAGAAGACCGGTCTGACGCTCACCCAGGTGTCGAATTGGTTCAAAAATCGAAGACAGAGGGATCGAACGCCGCAAACAAGGACGTAAGTTTCATTTTTCTTTCTCGTAATTGCGCGTTTCGATGTTGAAAGTTTCTCGAGGAAACAAGCTGAGTGGTCGATCGGGGTACGAAAGCGTCCCGCGGCGGAGATACGGTGCATGGAGGGCACGTGTGTCAACGGGGGGTCTCGACTTTTCCACCGAGCAACAAGTGTCTCGACATATGTACGGGGTCGTGAGTCCGTCTTTCGAGGGCACACCGACCGCTTTGGAGGCGGTAAATCATCCTCTGTACGAGCCGTGTCGACCGAAATCATCCGAGTGCACCAGAAGGATCCTCCTCGCCGCGATAGCTGACCGCCCTTCTTTACGGCTCGATTCGAATTTCCTCGGGGGTAAACTAACATTCCGATCGTCTATTTCAACGAATTCTTTTCCCTTCTTCTTACGCTTCCGTTACCGTGATTAGCCAAAGGCAAACGTATCAAATTCCCGCGGGCCATCGACTTCTTTCGCGATAATTGACGAGTCGATGTAATCTAGCGTTTGTAAAGCCAAGTATGCTTACACTTAGCGATCGCTCCATCGTTATTTGTAAACGGTTTGATACGGGCCGGCGCGGCGCGGCGCAGCGTGGCGAACGGGGGCCGAAGGAGGTGGAACAAGGGCGAAAAACGTGTTCGCCTGTTTATTGATACAATGCCAGTTGGGAATTACGATAAGATTAAAACGTTTCTCCAACTCGACCTTTTCGTATCAGAGATTTCAATGTCAGTCTTCGAGTTTAATCAGAATCTTCAATCCGCTTCGTGTCGCGTTCGATTAACAGAATTTTTTAGGCGTAGTGGGTGCGCGTGCAAAGAAAGAAAAGGAACAAAAGATAGAGAGGAAAGGCAGCAACGACGTTGTTATGGCTACGATGTGGCTCGGTCACGGTCTGCTTTGGACCGCATGCTGACTCGCCGCGTTGCGAACTCGGAAGTGCGCAATTTTTCTTCACCGTTCGTCTCGATCGAGGCGAGTTATCGCGCGTCGTTTTCGAAAACTTTCGACGACGGAGTTGCCTGCCGTGTGTAGGTTCGATTAGGAACGGCATGCGTGTTGAGCGAAAAATTCTTTTTCGGTGGCGAATAAGCTTCGCTCCAGTATCCCCTCGTTCCGCCCTTAACGTCCTCCCCCGGCAAAGACTGTACGAAAAGGAAACGCGACGCCCCATTACCGCTTTATGACGCAGCTTCGGTTACGTCTCTCGTTTCACCATTGAGCTGTTCGCACTACCAATAGTTTACTACATAAAGCCCACGACCGGCCCTCCGACGCTGCCACGATTTATCTTCGCGACCAAAGCTACCTACGCTCCATCTTAACTTTTTCACGCGTTCCTATTCTTCTCGAAACAGATTCATTGAGTACTTCACGGGTGCTTTCGCGATGGCGGGTGGACCTCGTTTCCGAGAAGCTCGAAGGGGAAGTGGCGGACGCGCGTCCTAAAATTCATCGTCGGACCTTGAAGCGCGACCGTAAAAATGCGCGCCCCGTGGTTGCGAGTTAGGCGAGGAGGAATATAGAGGCAAAGTGGTTCGAACGAATCGTGGTCAGGGGCGGAGCTGGCCCCACATGGACCACCGTGCGTGCACGTGCGTGTCGCGAACACGTACGCGTTTTCTACTTTGACCCGTGTCAAGATGCAAGCGGTAGGACGGAGAGAAAGCGAAAAAGAGGGAAGCGTTTGTTTGCACCGGGCAACGAACAATGCCGGCGCGAATACGCTTACCTCTCCGATCCAACCTTTTCCGTTCGCTCGCTTTCGGAGAGAGCAGCGCAGCGGCGAGAAACTTCTCGGAACGAATACGCGTGTAACGCGTACGAGCGCATGTGTGCGCGACCCTTTAATCGTCCGGTCTTGCCTGGACCAAGGGTCCCAAGTTTTTTCGGATTCGTAAGACAATGAGGAACCTCGCACATGCTTCTAGGTTCGAACCTTTCCGACGACTTTTCCTTCTTTGCCTCTCGACGAAACGGCCCAAGATTTATGGCGGGGTTCTCCGGTAATTTTTCTTAACGACACCGATTTTCGACCACGCACATGCGTTATCTCTGACGACCGTGACACGGTACTCCTGCAACTTTGCCGTTTTCGCGCGAGTGTTTGGTCCAGGCCTAGTTTAACCCCTTCTTCTATATTTCTTTTGATAGTTGCATTACGATCCTTGATTGGGCAAATTAGAATTGGAAGTACCAGCCAAATTTGACACATTTGAAGTGTAAGTTGTGTCACATCTGTGGCTCGATATTACATGGCAAATTATACTGACTTGGCTTTCATCTTTTACAGGGACATGATGCCGTTGAATTGCCAAAACGGTGGCAACGTGATCGGCGGCTCCGTGAGCAACGGAGGAAGCATTCAGTCGTTGCAGAGCATCGATTCGGATAATTCGAATCTCGCGATGTCGCCGCTCTCGACGATGGGTATGTCGCCCGTCGGCGTGAATCCCTGCAGCCCGATGGGCATGAGCCCAATGGCTCCACGTCATCCTGGATACGCGCCACCCGTCACTCCCTCGACCGTGCATACCAGCCACCCCCACAACGGTGCACTCAGCCCCATGAACGACGTGAAAGCGCTCTGCTATGGCCGCGGAGTTTACGACACCGGTAAGTCTGACCCCGTTTCAACGGTAGATATCGATATGGCTGCAGAACGGAATTACAAGGAAACTACTGTTTCAGGTAAAGACGTGGACCAGAGCACGGTGTACTACTCGAGTCATTCGGGCATGCATCATCAGTACTACCAGCAGACGCATCATCAAATGATGTCGGGCGCTCATCATTATCAGCACCACCAGCAGAGCATGCCGACGGGCTACGAAATCACGTTGCCGCCGCCTCAGCATTCGACGTGACCAACAGATTACGAGGAGGCCGATCGGAACGACGCGGCTCGCCACGGCCAAGCCGATGATGTTTTCGCGCGCGTCCACGCGTTCGCCTGACTCGGTGTTTTGCTTCTTTCGACAGGTTTCACGACCGAATAATTACGATCGATCGACCAAAGTTCTCGCGGGAACTCGAGAGATGACAGGGTGGGTAACTCGCTCCCGGACGCGAAACGACGCGACGTCGTCACGGGACTTATCGAGTGATACGCTATCATGGTGGTTGGAAGAACCATCGACTCTGCGTCTGCTAGCCAATAGAGATGTAAGTTCGTTCGTAAAAGTTCTGGGAGGAGTTTCGAAGGAGAACTGGTTTCACGCATGCACCCTGTTCGTAAAGGTGTTCGCCTAGGGTCGAGACCGTGATGGCGCCTATGAATCTTCGACTGCCCCTTTTCGTTGTGCGGGATTAACGATTGGCATATCAAAGAAATCGTTTCGAAAATCTATGTTCACCAGGATACGTATTTTCGTTCGATAATCGGAAATTAAAATTAAAAGACGATTTTCAGACGGACTCTCGTACCCTAACGATACGATCTCTGATACCTACCCCCTTAATACTAGAAACGGACTTTGTCTTTTAGCGTAAAAGATATTTTTCACCCTAGATTCGACTGTTTCGCACGGTACAATCTCCCATGACGCCTCCCAAAACGAAACAAAGGATCTCTTCTAAACAACGTACCATATTAATAAACAAAATTTATTGTAAAATTATGTGAGGCGCGTTAAATGTATAGAAATAAAATATGAATTCGTGAATAGTATGTCCTGATATTTTTATTTCCCTCCTAATTTGTAATCTATAAGAAATTAAATTACCGGTAACACCATATACACTCTACGCATTTTTAAATAAAAATGATAATTACAATTTAATTGCAAAATTAAATTATCTGTAGAAAGTAATTTCAAATTCGAACCTAGCGCCATCTCTTCAAACACGGCTCAAACTACTCAACGACTTACCAATTGATTTTCAGAAACGACGAGGCGACCGTCGATAACGTCGATAAAGGAGGGAATTCACCGTTGTCTAGATTAAACATTATTATTTATTCCATATTATATCTAATGAGATATTTGCAAATAAAAAAGCAGATCATCGTTACCCACGAAATACATAGATACATACACAGATACGCAGCAACATTTATTTTCAATTGCTCCTTATGAAAAAGTTGTAATTGAGATATCGGACTATTGAATCTTATAAAACAAATCAGGAGCAATTTCCTAGTACCATAAGATCTTTGTAAACAACCAATTACTATCTGTTTTGCAGATAACAAACTGCTGCTTTTTTATTTGCGAATATCTCATTAAATATAATATTTGCGATTAGAGCAATTTTAGATTCCAAGGAAGCACATGGGGAGTAATTTTTTAAGATATAAATTGTTAACAAATATTAATATTTCGAGCCAATTTTTCTTCGTTTTTCTACGCCACTGGCGCAGCGGGGTCTCAAACATCCCATGATGGAATCAGACCAGTATGCACAGAGCGCCGCCAGTGCTCGGGGTCCCTGACACCCCAGGATGATATCATGTCGATATGCAGAGAGAATCAACGGCGCAAAGGGGTCCCCGACACCCCAGATGCCATAATATCGATATGCAAACCCAGGTAAGTATCCTACTATATTTTCTTCTAGGTTTTCAAGTATACGCAGGTCACAGGTAAATAGAAATGAGTTTAGATGTATTCTTATATTTCCTTCTTTCCATGTTTTATACTCTTTCAAGGTCTAATCTTTCACTTGCTATTGCTATATCGCGAGTTGCTTGGTTTCTAGGTGTTATACTTCCCTATTTCCGGTCAAATCCATCGCTATCCTGCATTCACTAATTCGAGATTCGCGCATTCACTAATTAAGGCCTATGTCATATTTCGCTACATCCGGTCAAACCCATCACTATTCCGAACAAGTGAGTTTCACGATTTGTTCGTTTTTCGTTCTTATATTTCGCTAGATTCACTCAAACCCATCACTAGTCCGAACAAGTGAGTTTCACGATTTGTTCGTTTTTCGTTCTTATATTTCGCTAGATTCGCTCAAACCCATCACTATTCCGAACAAGTAAGTTTCACGATTTGTTCGTTTTCCGTTCTTATATTTCGCTAGATTCGCTCAAACCCATCACTATTCCGAACAAGTAAGTTTCACGATTTGTTCGTTTTCCGTTCTTATATTTCGCTAGATTCGCTCAAACCCATCACTATTCCGAACAAGTAAGTTTCACGATTTGTTCGTTTTTCGTTCTTATATTTCGCTAGTTCCTTCGGGGTCCTTGGAACCCCAAGTGGCATAATATCGGTGTCACCGGTTCCTCGGGGTCTCAGGCACCCCAAATGCAGTAGTGTCGGTAAGCAAAGAGTGTCGACGGTGCTTAGGGGTCCTTAGCACCCCGGATGCTATAATATAGGTATGCATAAATACCCACCGGTGTTTCGGGTTCCTTAAGACCCCAATATGATATCAGGGCGGTGCGTATAGGTGGTGACTGGTGCTTAGGGGTCCTTAGCACCCCGGATGGTATAATATAGGTATGCAGAGATACTCATCGGTGTTTCGGGTTCCTTAAGACCCCAATATGATATCAGAGCGGTACGTAGGGGTGGTGACTGGTGCTTCGGGGTCCTTAGCACCCCGGATGGTATAATATAGGTATGCAGAGATACTCATCGGTGTTTCGGGTTCCTTAAGACCCCAATATGATATCAGGGCGGTATGTAGAGATGATGCCTGGTGCTTCGGGGTCCTTAGCACCCCGGATGGTATAATATAGGTATGCAGAGATACTCATCGGTGTTTCGGGTTCCTTAAGACCCCAATATGATATCAGGGCGGTATGTAGAGATGATGCCTGGTGCTTCGGGGTCCTTAGCACCCCGGATGGTATAATATAGGTATGCAGTGATACTCATCGGTGTTTCGGGTTCCTTAAGACCCCAATATGATATCAGGGCGGTATGTAGAGATGATGCCTGGTGCTTCGGGGTCCTTAGCACCCCGGATGGTATAATATAGGTATGCAGCGATACTCATCGGTGTTTAGGGTTCCTTAAGACCCCAATATGATATCAGGGCGGTATGTAGAGATGGTGACTGGTGCTTCGGGGTCCTTAACACCCCGGATGGTATAATATAGGTATGCAGCGATACTCATCGGTGTTTCGGGTTCCTTAAGACCCCAATATGATATCAGGGCGGTATGTAGAGATGGTGACTGGTGCTTCGGGGTCCTTAGCACCCCGGATGGTATAATATAGGTATGCAGCGATACTCATCGGTGTTTAGGGTTCCTTAAGACCCCAATATGATATCAGGGCGGTATGTAGAGATGGTGACTGGTGCTTCGGGGTCCTTAACACCCCGGATGGTATAATATAGGTATGCAGCGATACTCATCGGTGTTTCGGGTTCCTTAAGACCCCAATATGATATCAGGGCGGTATGTAGAGATGGTGACTGGTGCTTCGGGGTCCTTAGCACCCCGGATGGTATAATATAGGTATGCAGCGATACTCATCGGTGTTTCGGGTTCCTTAAGACCCCAATATGATATCAGGGCGGTACGTAGAGATGGTGACTGGTGCTTCGGGGTCCTTAGCACCCCGGATGGTATAATATAGGTATGCAGAGATACTTACCGGTGTTTCGGGTTCCTTAAGACCACAACATGATATCAGGGCGGTACGCAAAGGGCGTTATTGGCGCAGCAGGTTCCCTAACACCCCAGGATGAAATCAGGACCGTATGAAGAGGGCACAACCAGTATAATAATTGTCATTTAATATTTTCCAGAGTTTATTTAATTTATTTCTTTTATTTTTTTTCGCTTAATAAATAAGCTCATCGGAGGGGAATAACATTTATGATTATATCCCTCTTCTACGTCTTAACCGAGGACGCCATTTATTTTATTTTTTCTAGTTATTTATATAATTTTACCCCCCATTATAGGCCAAGGCCATTTTTGCATCCCTTACATCCCTGCATACCTGAGATTCCAGCAAACCCTTAAATCCCCATTTTTTTTTTTTTTTTTTTTTAACGTGGTGGAAATCTTCAGAAAGACACCTTCAGCCCCCCTGGGGAGGGGCCGGAGGTAGTGTGGGATTTTTACCCACTAAAACCACCACGGTGGCCTGCACTGGGGCTGTACGGAGGGTCCTTTGACCCTCCGCCCTGTGCCAAACTTCGCCAACATCGGGGGCCACACCCGATGCCGACACTCCTGGGGCCGCGTGCAATGGAGGCCAGGGCCCCAGCCCAGGACCCCTACGGCATCCTTTACATCCCTCGCTTAGTTAGATCTCTCCACCCCTTACATCACTGCATTCTTTTCATCCCTTTACTCTTTTCATCCCTACATTCTTTTCATCCCTACATTCTTTTCATCCCTACATTACATCCCTACATTCTTTTGAATCCTACATTCTTTTGAATCCTACATTATTTTCATCCCTATATTATTTTCATCCCTATATTATTTTCATCCCTACATTATTTTCATCCCTATATTACTTACAACTCTTCATCCCGTACATCCCTACATTCTTTTCAATCGTACATTATTTTTATCCCTACATTACTTTCATCCCTACATTCTTCTCATCCCTACATTCTTTTCATCCCTACATTCTTTTCATTCCTACATTCTTTTCATCCCTACATTCATTTCATCCCCACATTACTTACATCTCTTCATCCCTTACATCCCTACATTCTTTTCATCCCTACATTCTTTTCATCCCTACATTCTTTTCATCCCTACATTCCTTTCATCCCTTCATCCCTTAAATCCCTGTATACACTATAATAAATATATTATAATGACTGTTTCGAGTAAAGGTAAGTTAGATTTTCGCCAGAAATTTTGAAAAATTTAGTTCCCTTTTTCGCCACCAGAGGGCGCTGATTGGACCTCGAAATTTTAGTTCAAATTTTTGCCGCTAGAGGGCCAAAAATTGAGCATGATTTAGTTCCTTTTTCCAAAACCAGATGGCGCTGATTCAACATCGAAATTTTAGTTCACATTTTTGCCGCTAGAGGGCCAAAAATTGAGCTTGATTTAGTTCCTTTTTCCAAAACCAGATGGCGCTGATTCGGCATCGAAAATTTAGTTAACATTTTTGCCGCTAGGGGGCGCTATTTTTTCGAGATTTTCTCGAAAACCTCGAAAAAATAGCGCCCCCTACCGGCAAAAATTTGAACTAAAAGTTCGATGTTGAATCAGCGCCATCTGGTTTTGGAAAAAGGAACTAAATCATGCTCAATTTTTGGCCCTCTAGCGGCAAAAATTTGAACTAAAATTTCGAGGTCCAATCAGCGCCCTCTGGTGGCGAAAAAGTGAACTAAATTTTGCACAATTTTGCATAAAAATGTTGCAAATATGTGAAGAATGCAGGGATGTAAGGGATACAGAGATATAAGGGATGGAGACATGTAGGGAATGTAGGGATGAAGAGAATGTAGGAATGAAAGGAATGTAGGGATGAAAAGAATGTAGGGATGAAATGAATGAAGGGATGAAATGAATGTAGGGATGAAAGGAATGTAGGGATGGAAAGAATGTAGGGATGAAAGGAATGTAGGGATGAAAGGAATGTAGGGATGAAAGGAATGTAGGGATGAAAGGAATGTAGGGATGAAAGGAATGTAGGGATGAAAGGAATGTAGGGATGAAAGGAATGTAGGGATGAAAAGAATGTAGGGATGAAATGAATGTAGGGATGAAAAGAATGTAGGGATGAAATG